TTTACGTTTTTTCGAATAATTGAAACAAGCTGCAATGAAGCACCTAGATCTCTTTCCGAGTGCTAATCTACGAGATTTGACATTCACTCAAACTTCGTTCGGAAAACAATTTTTCTGGAACTGTATAAACCTTCAATTTCACTTTTTTTAGTCTTCTAATTTTTCTTTCTTCCTTACACTCATCTAATCTTGCAAGTGTCACAGAACATTGCTCAATATTTCTTATCTCAGATATCTGGACAGATCTTGCAACTACATCAAGGAAATCCCCAGATTTATCTTAACCACTTTTGAAAGGTCATGTCAACGTAAGAATATTGATTAACATCCTCTCTTCTGTAAAAATCTTTTCAAACCATTCTTTTTTTTTTTGAAAGCCGTTGCAACTTTGCATGGTGGTCTTGGCGATTATTTTTTCTGAAGAACAAACCAGTTTACGAGAGAACACCCGCAAATTTGTTTCTATTTTGCGCCACGACGAATGAACTGACATGCAAATAATCTTCTTCATACGATTATTATGCAAACAAAGCTAGCGGATTTACAGATTTATTTTCGCACTACGCCGAATAACTTCACTGCACATTTAGTGTTTTTGGGGCCTGTTGCGTTTTATCTTGCACAGTTTGTTATAACGAGGTGATTATGAAGGTGAATATTACTAACGAGTCGTCGCTACATTCTTTAAAATCCAAATTTAAATGTCGCTCCAATTTCAAAGCCGTACTGTTCTAAATAGTTTTGTTGCATTCAATTCGTTGGATTATCGATCTAAATTTACTAATGTCTCAAATACTTTCTTAAAAAATTTTACCCAAATTTTTTTCTCTTTTCGCCTTAATTGATTGGCAACAAAATTCTATTGTTGAATTTATCCAATCTAAGGTAAGTTTTGGATCGAATGTCGTTAGTACTCATTACATTGACAATCAAACTGAGACTGGGTATTAGGGTTGTTCGAACATCATCATCAATGAATCTACGAAAATTTCAATTATATCCTACATAGAATCAAAAAAAACCAAGTGGCTCCAAGATTACAAGCTCGCAGTTTAGCGGTCTTATCCAAACCAGGTTTAGGCTGCTGCATGACGAAGGCGCAATATCTTTGGGCGCGAATGCGGTTTCATTAGCCGCAGAGCGCATGAGGCGCGGATTTATAACGGTGAAGATACGCGCGCGCAGCGTTCGCGCCCGCTCAAATCTGCTTCTGCGCCTTTGTCATGAAGCAGCCTTTATAGTCGCAGTCTAAAGGTCGCGTGCACTAACATCCTCACCGAGGAAGACGTTCGCAGCTCAAAACAAAGCTTCATATCTTGAATCTCCAGATATCTGGATTTCGCGCTGTCCACCCATCCGTAAGTATCAATATCCTTCACCTCAAACGTATTGAACAGGAACGATAAAAGCTGTACAAGCCGCATATTCCACCATTTTTGATGATTCCCCAGCTGCCGACTGTGTTCCTTCAAAGTTACTTTTCTTTCTTTGAAGTTAACGAAAACCTTGCAAAGTTGTATTGGGTATCCATACCAACAGTGCTAAACATGTTTCTGATAAGAACAAATAAATTCTTAGAATATTGAATTTTTCGATAAACCCCAACTTTTGACTTGTGGTCTATCGCAAATTTCATGACTCCAATACATCATTTGTTCTTTATCAGCAACAGGCTTAGCCCTGTTGGGTTAGATAATCTGCACAGCTTTGGAAGCTTTTCGTTGACTTCGAAAAAGGATGATGACCTTGACGAAAAGACGGTCGGCCGCCGGGGATCATTAAGGGTTCATATAAAAAAGGTGGGAAATGCTTCGTGTACAGCTTCTCGCTCCTGTTCGACATGTTCATAGCGAAGGAAAGTAGGAATACTTACGGATGATAGACAGTGTGAAATCCAGAAGTTCGGAGCTTTAGGATATGAACCTATCTGTTAAGCTACGATCCCCTCCCATGCGGGGACGTTAATACATGCGGCTCTGACAAGGAAACGATACTCGGTGTCCGTGGCTTTTTGAGATGAGTTGTATAACAATATACTCGTCTTGGAACGCTGATTCCGAATCTGGCTTCCGTTTCTGCTAATCGCTTCAAAGATGTTGTAAAGGATTGTGCGGGCTTTGGCTGTCCATTGAAATATGTTCAAAGCGGCAAAAGTGACGGTGCAGTGTGGTCTAGTGGTTAGCGCGATAGGCTCATGAGTTGAAGCAGGTGTAAGTTTGAATCCTTTTGTGTTTTTCAGTTTTGCGTTGCCTCAATAAACCTTCTTTCGGATCTTCGAGTTAACTGAACGCCTTTACTCTTCAGAATATGTGAAAATTTGGAAAAAATTTACTATTTGCGTTAAAATGTATCCAACGACCATAATTGGAGTGAATCTCGAACAACCTTAATTGAGGTAGTGCAAAATAAAAACACAAAAGGATTTGAACCTACACCTGTATCAAGTTATGAGGCTATCACACTAAGCACTAGACAATAACATGGCGCCAGTAGAGGCCGTTCTGGTGACCATACCCTGGGCGGATAAAGTTGGCTCGAAATTCCTCCATAACTTCCTTCAGAGAAACGATTAGCAGAAACGGAAGTCAGATTCGGAATCAGCGTTCGAAGGCGAGTGTAATGGTATACATTTCGTCTCAAAAGGCCACGGACATTGAGTATCGTTCCCTTGTGAGCGAAGCGAAAGTTATTGCGATGGGAGAATTATGTAAGGTATTACCTAACAATAAAAAAAATTTCTTCGCAACGTCCCCCCCCCATCCCGCCCTCGCCCACCCTGTTCTTCAGCACGCTATTCAAATACATAAGCTTATTGTCGAGTCAACTTAATATGCGTATCGCACAACATGCGCGCTACTTGACGAATTGTGAAGTTTGAATCTGCTCATTTCTTGTGATTTATCTCCTTTTCTTGTCCCTTTCGGGTAGAGGCACGAACGCCTCAATTAGGCGCCGCTTCTGCGGGCTGCTGGTCCTTTTGTGTTCCTGTTGTACATCGTGTTGGGACCAGTAGTCCGCGGAGGCGGTGCCAAATTGAGGCGTTCGTTCCTCCACCCGTCCCTTTCGATTTATCTGGGTATCTATTGTTAGCAATACACATTTCTACATTTTGTTCTGCAAAAGGTTTTTCTGAGGAAGGTTGCCTCGCATAGTGTGCAAACTCACATGTTAAGTTACAGATGACTTGAGGTTGACTCATCCATCTCTTTTAGGCGTCGGGCAGAGTTCACGTGATTTGATCGTCGCGATTCAGTCGCTACAAGACAAGTGTTACGAGTTCATTGCTGATCTTCTTACATTTCGGTTGTGATAGTTTTCCAACATGACTAATCGAGACTAACTATCACAACCGAAATACAAGAAGATTGGCATGCAATAAACTCGTATTACTTGTCTGTAGCGATTGCATCGCGACGATCAAATCGCTGAACTTTGCCCGAGGCCTTAAGGGCCGGGCGTAATTCACACGATTTCATCGCGACCCGATTTGGCTATTCGCCGGAAGTTTAGATCCAACACTAGCAAACTGCTCATGCATCATGTATATAACTTAGGTGGATTGATAAAATGCCCTATCTTCTTTACATTTAGAATGTGCTTACAGTGAATCGTGAACACTTGGAATATTGCCACATCGCGTCGCGACTGAAATCGCATGAAGTATGCCCGCCCCTTCGTGAATAACACGCTAGTGAAACCTCCGCAATTTCTAGAAGAAAGTTCGGCAATAATGGACGAAGTGCTCAACACACAACACTTGAAACTAACATTTTCACATAATCGAAGGCAGTTAACGTGAATAAACATGTTTTTGACATAGAACAAGTCTTTTCCTACTCTTTCAAAAGTCCGAGCATCACTTTTCCATTTGTAGCTCGTTGTGTTAGTTGTTGTGCATGAGTGTTTATTTTCATTTGTTGTGTACGCCTGCAGCAGCACAATATGGGCCTCCTATCAATGTTTATCGAACAAACTGCTGTTGAATCATTGCATCTCTGTTTTCTATTCATAAGCATATGGTATCCAACAGGTTCAAATTCTTGATTTTGTCCATTTAGATAAAAGCAAGAAAAAAGCCGCATTATTGAAAAGCATTTAGCTAGGGTTGCGTCCACAGTCTCTTGCGTCAGCGTCGTTCCAGCCCAGTGCCGGAACGTCGATCAAAGTGGCGTCAATCGATCAATAAGCGGCGCGCCTCTGTGGCTCAGGCACGACGCTAGCACGGTGCCGGCACGACACCGGCACACGCTCATTCTAAGTGTTTGTCACTCCAATGCAACTTTGGCAAAGTGGCTGGAAAAAGAAAAACAAGCGGTTTCTTTGATTTTTTTCATGTCTTCAGTTGCTTTTGGTTTTGCCTTAGTTGCCAGGGTAATGATTTTGATAGGTTTACGACATTTACTAGCATATTGGATTCAATTCTTGTTCTTAGAAAAACTGCAATCTAGTTCAGTAAAATTTGTCACATGTTTCTAGTGAGACTGAGTAGACTGGAACTAAGACTTTGGTTTCACGGAAAGCACAAAATGCTGCACCAAGTTATCTATAAGTATTCTACTCCCTCAAAAATTGTTGCAAAATAAGATTATAGTCAAGGATTTCTCTCTGCCTTCTCTTATCAAAAAGATCGAAAATCAGAGGTTTAAAGCAATCAAGTTCAGCTTCGAGTTTTGTTCTTTTTTCTTAAAATTTTTCAACTTTGAGATGTATGTTAATCTTTCACAAAGAATTTTTGCAACTTTCACATCCAGAAAACTCTTAACTTACTTTACTTAACATGAGACAGAAAAAGAGAGCATTTTTAGAGTGATCATTGATCATTGATCTGAACCAAAATGTGATCTATGCGTCCTCAATCCTGTAGCATTTTGTTGTTTACGTTCCTATCTTGATTTTTTAATGGTTTTAATTTTATTGACACATTTTTCTTCACTAAAAGTCGAGGGTTTTTTAATTTCGTTGTTTCTGTAGCACACATTTGTAAACAGTGATTTAATTACAGAGGCTCTAAAATGTCGCTGACAGAGGCAGAACTGTTGATCACTGGCGAATTGCCAATACGAATAGATGACGTCATTGGGTGTCACTTGGAAAATGGTAACTAAGAAAAGATTCGGCGACAATGTTGGGATTTAACCAAACTGCAAGCTTCAGAGTTGGACAACGCTTCCACAAGCAGTGTTGTTGTGGAAAATTTCCCTCTTGTAAGGAATAGACGGGCTCATCGTCCTGTGAATGTTACATTTCCTTCGAAAACCGATGCCGAAAAATTCCTCGAAGAGATGCAAGCGAAGATAAGGAGAAAAACGCCTCGTAGGTGCCTACATTTGCATATTTATGCTTTCTACAGATTAGAAGCATCTCCTGACTGAAAGCGAATGAGCATAGACCATATATTTGTCATTCTTTTTCAGCTCATTTACTCACAAAAGAGCCAAACGGACGAGTTCTCATCGTGATTAATCCGTTCAGTGGGCAAAAACGCGCTGAATACTTATGGGCAAGGCACGGGTCTCATATATTGAAAGCAGCTGGAATTTGTGCCGATATCGTCCATACTGGTATATACTATGCATTTTCTGAGACAGAGCAGAAAATGCAAACATACTTCAGATTATCCTCAGCATGCCACCAAGATTATGCAAGAACTCGACATCGACCGTTATGATGCTGTTTTAGTGAACAGTGGAGATGGTCTTGTGACAGAGGTTAGTAGACTTTGAGACATCATTGAGTTGGCACTTACCGCCGATGTCGCGCGTCATTTTCTAATACCCGGAACAACTCTACAAGCTTAGAATTCGCTGTAAGCGTCAGTTCGTCTAGTAAATGGGAACCATTGTATGTTGAACAGTGGAGCAAATTTCACTTCGTCAGTGGGTCAAAGGGGACAAGTCTTATAAGGGAGATATACTTGGTGGCCATGGTAGTGATTTTACCAAAAAATGCGCCTTTTAATGCTGGTTCGAATACTTCTTTCATATCTGCGAAACGATAACCTGGATGGAGTTATGATCATTTTTTCATGAATAAATTGCGCTACTGCGGAGGTTCAGAATTATCAATAAAAAATTTTCTTTCCTTTTCAAATGCAGAATATGATTTGAATAGGTATAATATAACAGTATTCTTTTTAGGATTCACTTCAATAACTTCAAACGGTAATCTAGGATAGATTTGGTGATTTTAAATACCCTACTTAAAAGTACGCAGATTTTTTTATGAAGAAAAATTCATGACTTGCTTCAGAAGATCGTTTCGCGGATATCAAGCATAGATTCAGTATCAGCGCTTCAAAGTGCATCGTACATCGTATACATCGCATTCTAAATGGCCACGGTCACCGAGTATCCTTCCCTTGTTAAACAATTCCGATTTTTCTTTCTAGTACATCGGAGAAAAAATTCCATTATCTCGCTTAGATTGCATTCAGTAATTATATGATAGCAATCCAATAAGAAAGGAAAAACGAAATGAACATCCAGATTTATTTTGCTAATACACGAGAAGTTTATTAGAGCAACAAAAACGGAACTATTGGTGAATCGAAGCAAAGAATGTGAGATAAAACGGTTTTCTGTGATTGTAATCGTAAAAATCACTCATGCGCTACTTTCTATTCACACAAAAAACGTCAAAATTCTAGGTTATTTGTGGGCTGCTGCTGCGAAAAGACCGTGAAAGAGCCTTGAAGTTTCCTATTTGTCACATTCCTGGAGGAACGAGCAATGCCCTGGCGGCTGCTATATGCTATGCTTGCAAGTATGTGTATAGACCTTTTACTTCTATTCAAATAACTGCCGCACAGTTTTACATGCTCTAAGAACAGTCATATGCTGGATCCTGCACCTTCGCGCTATTCTCTGCGAAGAAAATCATGAAGAAAAAGTAAATTACTTTTATCAGAGCGTTAAAATTCATATTTAGTGAGCCGTTTTCATCTCGCGATGTTTTCATCAAAGAATGTTGTCTCATGGTGACCCGACCTCGGTATATTCCTCTCCGTCTCTACAATGTTGAAACACAGTACGATGGTACTAGATCAATGTTTATGAGTGCAAATTGGGGGCTTATAGCCGATATAGGTAAACTGACACTTGCATAAATCTGCTAGTTTTTTTCACAAAATTTCTCTTGAAGACATTGGCAGTGAACGTTTTCGATGGGCTGGAATGATCCGATTACACATGGAATCCGTGATCAGAATAGCAGGTAATAGTTTACAGTCTGTTCAAATCTCAATCAAGCCAAATTGGCATGGCGAGAGTTCGAGCCGCGGTAGTTTAGCTTGCATCTACGTTTAGCTTCTCACAATCAGACAAATCCAGGGAGGCGGGCTCCGCCCAGCGTAGGTTTGCGACTCGTGCTCCGGAGCCCTCCCATTTCACCCATTTTGGTGCTCCGGGGCCCCTCCAAAATCTGGCGCACCTCCGGAGCAGAGATTCGCGAGCCCCTGGGAGAGGTCCCATTCGTCACCGTGACGTCACAAGAAGGCAAATGGGACCTTTCCCCGGGGCTCGCAAATCTCTGCTCCGGGGGTGCGTCAGATTTGGAGGAGCCCCGGAGTACCAAAATGGATGAAGTGGGAGGGCTCCGGAGCACGAAGTGGCAGACCCCCGCCATTTGCTCTCCGGAGGTATCCCTTCGATGCCTGAGGAGGTATGCCGTCGATTGTCTGAGTTGCGGCGAGCGCGCATTATGCCATCGGTTCGGCCTGATAGCGGGGTCGAACCGCTGGTGTAATCCTGATCTCAAACTCCTTCTACCTGATCCTTCTTCCGACCAGCAGATTTACTTATCAATATTTTTCATAACCAAATGGCTACACGATAACAGTCTGTCAGGCATTAAATCTGTGCGCAAATGCGTTTGCCGTGTGAGGTTGCGTCCTGGATGAGGGCGGATCTTTTACCGCGGCGAATGAGCATCATTGTTAGACTGGTCAAGAGATACGGGACTGATGTGCCCAAAGCGCCGCTGAATACTCTTTAATATGTAGATTCGCCTTCGGCCGGGATTGGACTATAGCCATTAGCAAACATGCGCCGTCATTGACTGATAACGAAGAATTAATGTTCCAGAACTACCTCGTGTTGCGACATACAGAGCTCGAATTTCGTACATTCCTGCGCAGTGCAAACTTACATCGCGAAACACAATGTTGAGATTCAACTGCGATAGGAAGAAGTTTGGCGCTGGCCATTTTGACTATGATGAGGTGGACCAGGTACAAGGCGTAATTTATGCATTTCTTTGGGGTAGAAAGAACGGAGCTTGCAGGTTACTGGACTGGAGAAACTGGAAAAGGAGCACTTCTCATCGCTGGAGGAGTCTCTTAAAGATACTTCCCTCAACAGCATTCCGCCACTGAATCAGCCTCTAGATGGAAGCTGGGAGACTGTAGAAGGAGATTTTGTAATGGCAAATGTCTCCACGCTCAGCCATCTAGGTAGGCTCTCACCGACGCTAGCTCTAACGCATTGCTAATTCACTTCAAATTCTGAGCCATTACAGGATCTGATCTACCATTCCTTCCATCGGCTCGCTTAGACGAACCGACCATGTACCTAACGTTGATAGACTGGAACACGATAAAATCGCGACTTCATGTCGCTCACTTGTTCGTATTTATGGAAAGCAGTCGACATCTAGCCCATCCATGCATGCAGGTAGGGGAACCTAATTTCACCATCCGTCAAGAAACCCCGTGTTCCACAACGAATGAGAGAAGGAACTAATTCTGAAATTCTCTTCTAGGTTGAAAATGGCGGCAGATTTTTCTTGCCTTGATTTTGCGACCCATTTTCTAAAGTGGTCCTTTTTCTATTCAAAAACATAGAATTAAGAAGTTCATTACTATGCAATTCAGAAAAAAAGTGTAGTGCTCTTAACAGCACAAAATAATTTTGCTGCACGTATTTGTGAAATTTTTTGTCAGTTATGAGCGATCGGTGCTATTTACAGAGAACAGTGCGAATAAATTCAAATTATCATTTCACTAATTTCACCATAGCGCTTGAAGGTAGTGGCTCGGGAAAATTGTAATTGCGAGCTTTCCATCCCTCCCTGGCCTTCTGGATGCGCTGAGTCCGAAACTGTGCTTGAAAAGTCAAAAAGTACTTTTGATGGCGTTTTCCGGCCTTGGGATTGCTGGAGGGGCTGGGCGAGCGATCCGCTCCACCTGAACTGCGATTGGCCGCCTAAGCCGATCAGCCAATTGCCGCCAAAGTGGGTGGAGTTACAGTCTCATACAGCCGGTGTTTTTGGCAAGAAGCTCTCCTTCAGCCCCCAGCCATCTTCAGGGCCGGAAAGTGCCGTAGCACTTTTTGACTTTTCAGGCAAAGTTCCGCGCTCAGCGGATTCAGAAGGCCATGTAGTTGTGAAAAGCTCGCAGCTGCAATTTCCTAACCCACTGCCTTTAATAGCAAGGCAAGCATACTTGCAAGGAATAATTGTTGGCTATACAGATCATCCCGGTAAAAGCTATCAGAATCGAGCCACTCTCAGAAGGCGGTCATTTTGCCATAGATGGAGAGCCCTTCAGATCAGGATCATCTTTCCAGGTTTGTAGATTTCATATTCTTGGTTATCTTGAAAACTTCTTCATGATAAAATGTTAAGGTGGTACCGAGCAAATACTGCGCTACCGTCGTTGGCAGGAAAGAAGTGGTGCGAGAAGAACAGAACCATAATAATAAATAATAATGTACCATAACTTCTTTTATCCTATGTTCTGTAAACTGTCTCTCTCCCCTTGAACACAATCATTATGGGTTCTAAGATTGTTGTAATAAGATACGGTGCCTTTCTTCTATTCTAATGTACGCTTGCATCAGCGATAAGACATTGGGTGTTCCGCATTGCCTTTTTTCCTTTTTTTCCTATCCTGGACTTTGTTCGTTTTTCAATAAGATGTGAAACTTTCGAACTCGGCAATTTATGCTATCAGAGCTTTAGCACATGTACTTTTCTCGCTATTTTTCCTTATAGGATGAGTAAAAAATTTTCGGAGGCACGGGCGTGAAGAATTTATAGGTGAAAAAAAGGGGCGGGAGGGGAGGGGGGAATCTAGGGCAGAAAAGTTAGAAGAAAAACCTTGTGCTCGCAGCTAAAAGTATTAGGCCATTTTAAAGTTCCCTAGCGTTTTTATTTTCGTGCTCGCTTTTTTATGGAGGGTTGATTTGCAGCAAGATGCGTATACCTTTAGAAGGTGCTGATCATGCTCTTTGGAACATACTTACTACTTTCATTGAAAAACCAATCTACTCAGATTTCTTAGGTTCTAAAAACGGAAATCTCAGAAGGAAAAGATGCATTTTCGGTACCTGCTAATTTTTCCTCATGTAGACGTTTTTTGCACTTGTTAGTAGTTTTGGGAAATGGTATGTGGCCGTTTATAAAAGACAAAAAGAAGTAGAGGACATTAGGTCGCCGAAGGGGGCGGTCCCACGCGAACATTTGCAACAAACCGCGCGCTATTATCATTACTGCCTCATGCTATCTGTCCGCGTGGGTGGAGCCTAATGGCGACCTAATGTCCTCTATCCGACAAAAAGGATTAATCTGCTCTAACGAAGGAAGGAATGTCGGTTGAAGTGGCCTTTTGAGATAAGATATATATTGACTTGACGGGCTTCGAACTCTAATTCCAAATCTGCCTTCGCTATCTGCAGTGGGCTTTTGGGCGATGTGTTTGAGGGCTTTTCGTAATCTGCACAGAAATGCGATCGAGAACGTTGCTATTTCTGCCCTAGTGGTCTAACGGTTAGTGTGACTGTCTGAAGCAGATGCTACCGCAATACTTTACGACATCTTCAATTCTCCTCCGGCATCAAGGTAACCACTGGAATATCAGAAATAGCCCAGGAAATTTCTGTAAACCCTCGGGCAGATTCTACGCGACTTCATCGCCTCGCGATTCTCCCGCAAGACAGCAGTTACGAGTACGCATGCCAGTCATATGCATTTCGGCTGTGATAGTTTTCTGACACACCTAATCGTGACTGACTATCACAACCGAAATGCAGAATGATCGACATGCAATGGATTCGTAACTGTTGTCTCATTTGGAGAATCGCGAGGCGACGAAATCGCCTGAACTCTACCCTTATTCTGTATGGTGAACTGATGGTAAATTAGCGATAGGAACTTAGGATGGATTCAAGCGCGTACACTAAACTCAAGATTATGAGCGAGGAATTGAGAAGTGAAGCGCTTTTACATAACCTTAGATGTGATTTCGGGAATTCAAACGAGGGTTATGAAACAAAGACAGGGAAGGCAACAGAATTCAATTTGACACGTACAATCTTGGGTACATGGCAAGAACACGTATACAGGGCTTACCAACTGCAGTGTCTGGTGCACCGGCATCTCCGCCCCCGTAAGACCGCTTCGCCTGGACTCTGTACCTCGTGACACCCGACACTGCAACTGATAAGCCTTATAACGTGTGTCTTGCCATGTACTCAAGATTGTACGTGTCGAACTGAATTTTGTTGCCCTCCCTGGGGAGACGGTCTTTTCGCACGGGCGGTCTCCAGCGTCTCCCTGATTTTGACTTGTCTTAACATGTAATGCACGCCGCAAATCTTTTCTCCCCGTGTTTTGCTTAGGCAAAAGCCGCCGCAGGGTGTGTCGCGCCGGCGGTGGTCCTGTATGGAAAGCATTACGGTCGTGTGAAACGTCACACACCCCCCTCCCTGCCTCTATTTCATAGCCCTCGATTGAATCCCTGAAAATACAAATATACGGTTCAAAACGCGATGAAAGAAGCAAGAAGTTGCGTGAAGACGAAACTCGCATCTGTACGAACTTATAGCTAGAATGCAAAACGGAAATTGCGAGAACGGACACGAAACTGGGAGTATCTGCTTCAGAGATCGTCACACCAACCATTAAACCTAAGGCATACCTCACGCGATTCGACCGAATCGCCACTTTCACGCGACTTGGCGATTTGTCAGATTTCTATAAATTTATTATGCGCACCTCTCGGACGCATATTTGGGTAGCTTGTGTAAGTTGTTGCAAACGCAGCAAGTTCTGACCAAAGGCAGCGCATTAACGACGAGTTACGAAGAGTCGCTGTTGTGCCAAATCGCGCAGCGACCGGAATCGCGCGAGGTATGCCTTAGGTCTTAAACCATGAAGCACGCGATGAGTGACGCTCTCTATCGCATTTACGTGCAGATGTGGCTCCTAAAATCCCTCATAATTCATTGCCTGGAAGCCCGCAGCAGATAGCGAAGGCAAATTTGGGATCAGCGTTCCAAGCCCGTCAAGACAATATACAGCGTGTCCCAAAAAAATGTTTTGAACGGATCGTTAATATCTCTCTTCCCAAGAAGTCTTTTGCCTTGCTTCAGGTACCGTTTTGTAGAGCTGGCTTCAACTTAGATTTCCATTATAAAACGAATCACCCATCTCTTTATTACTGTAGGATTACGGTAGAAACTTGAAACATACGGTGTCAATGGGGAAAAAGCTGACGTTCCAAAATTTTTCAAAAAAATGTGAAAACTTGTGTAATAAGGTTTTTACGAATGCTGAGTTCAATGCTAAACTATTCACAAGATTACGAAGCTTTCTAAACGGCTTAATCGCACTTTTTAAGAACATTGAAAAAATGGCCGCTACCTCTTACCTGGCATAACTCTTCAATGAAGCATCATAACAAGTTGGGAACTTTACAGTTGTAATCAGCAACTCTAATTAGCCTAGTGTAAAAGTTTTCAGGCTGTTTTGTTTCTTTTTTGAGGCAAAAAATGGCCTTTCATGGCTCAAAACCCTCTTTGAAGTTTCTACCGTAACCCTACAGTAATGAAGAGAGATGGGTGATTCGTTCTATAATGGAAATCTAAGTTGAAGCCAGCTCTACAAAACGGTGCCTGAAGCAAGCAAAAGACTTCTTAGGAAGAGAGATATTAACGATCAAACGTTCGAAACATTTTTTTGGGACACCCTGTATATCTTGTCTCAGAAGGCCACTTCTTCCAAGCTACTTCTTATTTTTTGCCATCTTCTAGCATTTTGCACAAACTCAGACCTGTTTGCACTTTACACGCGGATTTCCATATCGCAATCTTTCGAAGATGGCTTTCATTACGTGTCTGCGGTGGTGGCTACTCAAAGGCAGCGGCTCGGCATATTGACCTACCTCACATCTTAACACAGGTGGATAGGAGGCCCTCCAAGTGAACCAAAACAGCAACTCCGCGCCGAAAGTGTGAACTCTGCAGGCGGCCCAAGCGCCGCTCCCCTTCCTCCTTTCTAGCGTTCTCTACCTCCTTACTCTGCGTCTCTGACGGGAGAGAAGAACGGCTCACTCGTCCGCGCCCGTCTCAGAGGGGGTTTCAAAAGATGGGGTTTTTCCCATTTTCGCGCTAAGGGGAGTTCATATCGTGATTCAGGGGGCCGGAATAGCCCCAAATCTGCGAAAACCCCGAAGTTGGAAATCTGCCGAGCCGCTGCCTTCAAGCGAAATCGCTTTTCGGATGCCGACGAGCTTTGCGCCTACGAGTAGCCTATTTTCGAGTTTTGCGGCCGTGGCTTTTTTTTTCACGAGGAACTCGACATCACGCGGGTGTTAAATTGAACTCTACACGTACACACCAACCTTTGCCTCTCCTCTCTGCTGTTTTCATAAAAGTAAAGAACTATAGAGAATTTGGCACTTTTCTTTATCCAGGCCCGTTTTCAAAAAGCTCTCATAAAATACGTTCTTCAGTCTAAGAACGATTTCACATAGATTCTACGAGGACTGCCTCCCCTCCACGTGCTAGGAAAAAATTGACACGTTTCATTTTGACTTGTTTATTCGAAATTTTCCGATGAGGTAAAAGAGTATTTGTGACCACCTAAAAGCTGTTCAACTGTTTTCTTAGAAGCAAAACTGTCTAAAACTTATAGCAGAAACATCATGGTCGCTTTTAGCAATAATTTAAAAGTGACTTTCTCTTCCAACTTTCCGCCATGAGAATTTAGCGAGGAAGGACTATAAATGATGACTTGAAATACCATGCTGCTGCTTGTTTCGTCGCTTAGGTGATGAATCCTAACGCACTTATATATTCTGGGCAGGTCTGATGTTTTCATTGATAACAGGATGACGTTATTATTATAACAATGTTCATTTTTGAAACTGTTCAGTGGAAAATGGGTCATCGAACAAAAAAAACAGATTGAACTTAGTCGCTAGGCAATGTAACACAAAGTCTTGGTAAAACCTGTTAAACATGCAATTTTTTTTTTGACACGTGGCAGAAAGTTGACACTACTCTCTGTGAAGCTGGAACCAAATATGGTACGAAAAAAGAAGCAATATCTTCTTTGAAGAGATGGGTTCGGATAAGGGAAAAGTATCCCGAATTTTCACGGAATAGTTCAGTACAATCGGAGAGTTCAAGGAAAGGCTAACCCGAAAATAGGATGCAACATCTCTCATAAAAATGACCTTGGTTGCACGCCCTAAGATTTGACGTCACAAACACTGACTGCGATCACTCAGACTACGCTGTGATGGGTGACCAATTTTACCACACTTCGCTTCAATCTCAACCAAATCTGTGCTAATTTAAGAATTACCACATCCGTATATCATGCTATGCTTACCACTCTGGACATCTAGTGGAAAAGTTTCAAAATTGGGCAGCAGCAGGCTACTTGCGATGGAGAACACCAGAATCACTGAGTATGCTGTCCAAAACATTCCGTGGTACAGTTCAGTATTATGGAATTGCGTTACGTGCAT